CGACGTGAAAAGGTGCAATGATCAAATCCATGTCGCTAATCACGACCTCTGTGAACCACCTGTAAACCTTTTCGTGCTCGAACTTCATATCGCTATTAAATAGTTTTGCGGAAAAAATGAGCTAAGAACTGTTATTGTAGGAATGCGCCCCTTTCCAGTTCTAACCACATTTTCGTTCTTCGAGTCGCAATTAAGGTGCTTCAAACGACACTCATTGTCCAATCTAACAAGGTTAAGATAAAAATTAACTATATGCTCGTTCAGCCACTTTTTTTCTATCATTAGCAAGCTAAAATCGTTGACTGTCATCACCAATTCTTCTTTTGTGTCTTCGTTGAACGAACTTGCTATGACGTCGCTATTCCCAAGTTTCACTCGCAATCGCGCGAGGGTCTCCATCTCTCTCTCCATCAAATTCGTTGTTGCCAAGTGGACGGTCCATCATTTTTGCACCTCCGGTTATCCTCCATTGTCGTTTGCGCTGCACATGACAACGCGCCATGTGTTTACGTGAGCTAATATTTCAGTAGGAACTACGATTTCTAGTCATGTTCATTGCGTTCAATTTGTTATAGTAATGCGTAGTAAGGGTTACCTTAAAAGAGCGGGGTGCTTATTGGAACTACCACTTTACGTAGTTGAAACCCATACAACATGTTATGCGTCAAAATAGAACATTATACTGTGTCCTCTTTCGAACGAATTCAGTTTCGGCTGCAGCGTAAACAACCTAGATATGCCCATTCACTCGCCCATCCATTCGCCCCATATTCGGAAGTGTGCTGGGATCCATACTTGTTTATGATCGCAATAAGCGAGGTGTGCCCGATAGGCGGAAGTGTGCAAAGATTCATACTTGTGTATAATTATGATAAGCAAGGCGCCTTGATTTCTCACTGTCAAAGAAGTTCGATAAGACTTAGTGTGTTGAGATCCATACTCATTTACTATTGTGATGAGCAGGCTCCTTAAAGTTTATGATTATATCCTTGTCAGAGAAGTTTGATAAGTGTGCTGAGATCCATACTTATTTATGATTCCGTTGAGCAAGGCGCCTTGATTGTAGGCTTGTTGGACAAGCTCGGTTCTATCACTCCTAAGTAACTTCATCCTCTCGGCCCAAACGGTTGTGTAGTTCCCTACTTTGTTTAAATTTGCTTAGGGATTAGCGCACCGACACACTTGGTGAACATGCGGAAGTGTGCTGAGATCCATGCTTGTTACACTTTGGATACGTGATGAAAGTATAGGGTGTAGTTCTGAAGGCTTAGTATAGAGCCAAGCACGCGCAGACACTTGTTGATGGTGCAAAAGTGTGCTGAGATCCATACTCGAAAAGTGACACTGCAAGCTTGGATGGCGAACATAAGCTAAGAAGGACAACCTTCCAGTGCATTGACAAAGGAAGCGCGTTCACCAATGGACCACAGGACGATGCATTTGTGCGAATACAAAAATTTTGTGATGCGGGTTGTCCTTGCCAGCCTGTGCCCTGCAGAAGTCCGGCCTCGTGTGAATTTGCAACTTCACTCTATCTTCGAATACCTCTACACAAAGTCGATGACACCACGCATCAGTGCCTGCACGAGTAGGTGCAGATGTTGATCTGAAACGGGGATCGCAGGTTTTTTGCAAACCGAATGTCACGGTCTTGACTATGTCTAAAACTGCCATGCACGGTCACCAAACATCCCTTGGTGGATTCATTCGACGACCAGTGGAAAAGCATAATAGGAAAGCGCAGCTGAAAAAAAACGAGCACCGTCATTGCCAAGCAATGCGAAGACCGCCATCAAAAGAGCGAGCCTCAGGTTGCAAGTCAGGACCCCAGCGGACTTCTGAGTAGCACGACCAGCAAAGCAAAACGTTGTAAGAAATTTGGACACTCAGGGACTACGGGACTCTGAAGTCTCCCGAAACCAGAACCATATTTTCAACAAACGCCCGCAGCGCCACTCCCATCATTGGTCGGCCGTATAGCGGCCCTCCAAACTCCGACATCCCAGCAACCTTGCGGGCATTTGGCTGGGATGTCGGAGTACGGAGGGCCATGAGATGTCGTAGTACGTAGGGCCACGAAACCGCCGAGCGATGATGCGAGAGGCGCTGCGGTCGTTAAATGAAAATACGGTTCTGGTTTCGGGGGACTTAGTTCGAGCGAGACCAAATCAAGACAGCCACGCTTGGTCTTCTCCAGAAGAGAACGGTTTTGTTTGGAGATGCGAGCAATCATCCCAGCACTATGCCCATTGTGAGGAAACTGAACACAAACTTATTTTTTTTTGGAGATGCGAGGAATCGTCCCAGCAATATGCCTAGTGTGAGGAAACCGAACACAAACTTCTTACTCACTTTGCACACACAACACACACACAGAAAGTGAATCCCACAAGGCATCGACATCGATAGTTCGGATATCGACGGACTACGGCCTCTTCGCCCCCTCCCCCGCCCCCCCGAGAGGACACACAACCAGAGCTGCAGGAAGGAGTGAAACACAACACGGCGCAAAAGCGTAATGATGTGACATCTCACACTGTTTGGAGCGACAACGAAATTGGCACACCAACATCACCACACAAGGGCAGTGAGGCTATGCACGACTGACTTCCCAGACATCAACACGATCAAAAAGATAACATGGCCAAAGCACCATCATCCGACACAACATAAGCATCTCAATAAGAAGACATAACGAAGTCAGGATTGGAGAAGTCGAAAAAGTTTCATCTCACAGCACCGTAATTTGCGAAATCAATGCCGGCGTTGACAACAAGAACATCAATGACAGATAATAGCAACTCTTAAACAAAGAATAAAATTTGTTATGCCTGAAGTTGTCCAGTCCGAATACAACGGCATATATCATTTCTCGGAAAACCACAAGACGCTAGCAGGTAAGACGACGACCTTCCAGAATACAGATCGCCAACTGTCGTCTAATACGCGGGATTTCACGAGGAGTGAACCCAAAAGGCGGCCTATCACCACGTTGCAGTAGTGTGGCAAACATCAACATAAACACCCCGCAACTTGTCCCGTCTACTTGTCTGGGAACTCCTTCTGTGACAATATTTCTGGCGAAGGACCTCCAACCCCCTTTCGACCGCCCCAGTGGCGCCCGGTCGTCCAAGTACTCCACAACTAAATCGAAAACCTCGAGGTAAAATTTTATGTCGGCGCCCATAGGGGCCAACGAGTCGAATATCGCGAGGGCCCCGTTCCTCAAGTTAACGGTCAGAAGGACCCAGTGGTCATTGTCTTTGTGGACTGGCACGAAGATAATACATGTCGTAGGAGATCGATGTCTCGTGCCCACCTTCCCACCCCCGTTTTCCCCTGTCGTCTCAACTTGTCGAAGAAAAATGTGTTGAAACTAAGAACATGAAGCCCGTCGGACAACTGATGGCTTCCACACGCTGTCGATCCCAGAAGAGCCATGTAGAAGTGGACGACCTCTTCATTAACCTTCCCATCAATATCGGACAGAGTGCGCAGATCTTTCGCTCCAATTCTAAGCTGCCTATTTGCAAGTCTAGCAAGGACAGACTGAGGCGGCACGGACCCGCGCAAAACGTCATGTAAAACCTGCAGGGGCGGTCGCGCAGCCAAGGCGACGCAATCTCCTCCCCACGTCAGAGCCACCTCCATACTCATTGCATAACACTGAGCAACGCACAAGAGGGGCGATGAGAAACTTCAACCTACGAAATGTTTTCTGCAGCACGACTCACTGCCAAGAAATTTTCATACATCTCCCGCCCCCTACTCACGGATCTTTGACACGACCCCTTGTCAGGAGGAAGCAAGGAAAGACACTCGTCAATAGCAACGGCATGTGCTCGCCGGGCGATTCCAATATCAATCCCCGATGCCTTCAATATATGTGTACTTCTCGTCGACAATCGAGGGGCTTTCCGCAACAAGCGCGCAAGATATACCGATTTGCTTCTTCTACCAGACGTCCCGCTTGTGTGGCGTCATGAAGAAGAGAGAGCAAAAGAGGACCTGCACGGGAAGGAGGAAATGAGCGTTCGCAAAAGGAAGCGCGGAGGAAGGCTAAAGATCAAAAGGCAAATCGACGACCAATCCATCCAAGAGTTTTGGTCAAATGCACAACTGAACTTCGCTGCACAACCATTGGAGAGAACGGTGCTTTACTCTTTGCCGTGGGAATGGGTTAGTCCGCCGGTATCTGCACTTCTAGCGGTGAAATAGAGGCGCGAAACTACACCCTCCACTGAACCCACAAGGGGCCTAGCAGACAGCTTCGATACTACGGAAACGCGGTAGTGGTAGGATCACCACAGTTGTCATTGCTTACCAGCCTGTTTCCCGTTCCGCTCCTTCGTCGGCGCCGCATGCGCGGGTAAGGCGAGAACGGTCATCGCCGGAGTGCCCGCCCGGCATTTTTTGGGGGAGGTGACGTGTTGCCGGCCTCCGAAATCCTCCCCCCCTTATCCGCCGACGGCTGCCGCGCGTGTCGGAGAGCATGGCGTGTTGACTTCCAAATCGCCGGCCGCCAAAACTTTGTTGCACACAAGGGCATCGGATTTCGGTGGGGTGGACGTAAGTTCATGAACGCGCTCGTCACCCAGTACGCAGCCGATGAACTCGTTGACCTCAATGTGGCATGTCGCTTTTGGCGAGGTCACTGTCGTGATAGCCACGCCGCACTCGTCGCTAGGACGCAACCCCGTTGGCAGGTGCTGGGCGTCATATTTGTCGTCTACACTGACCACATCCGTCCCTATCTCCATCGCCGTCGCGTCGTCGTCGACGTCACCTTCGCCTCCCTTTGCGTACACCAAACCGAACGAATCAGATGTATCCCCAAAGACATCATCGTCTCCGGCATCCTCCCTTTCTTCCTGAGTGATACCGAGTCCTTCTTCATCGTCGTTCCCATAGCGCAATATAATCGAATCCTTTTCTCGTCCTTCGTTTCTTCTCTCCCCTCGTCCCATTCTCCCTGATCATCCCCTCTGTCGACTTCAACCCATTCTTCGCGCCCGCCAGTATCATGCGACTGAGTTCCTTACGCCGGCATGAAAGCGGATCCCAAGGAGCGGTCATCCTCCGACCACACGGCTGTCTCCGACGAAGTTCGGATTCTGGCGGACCTCGTCGCTAGGAACGCGAGCGGCTCTGAACCCCCACTCTCTTCTTGTGCCGCCGACCGCACGGCTGTCTCCGACGAAGTTCGGATTCCGGCGGACTTCGTCGCAAGGAACGCAGGCGGCTCTGAACCCCCACTCTCTTCTTGTGCCCCCGACTGACTTCCATCTCGGACGGTCGGCGCCGTTGTCTCCCGCGCAGCGAGGGCAGCGCCCATTTCCGATGCCTGTGCTCTTGTACTGCTCCGTACGTCTCGACCACTCGCTTGAACGATGTCCGCCCTGCAGCGGATATCGGTGGACTTGTCCTTTGACGCGGACACAGGATCCCCTCTGCATAAGCCCCCCCCTACGTCAAGGGAGGAGGCGAAAGCCGTTCCAGAAGCAAGGGCCGCCTGCTCTTGACTGGACAGAATGCGGATGTCGGGCGAGCTCGCTGCGTCCACGGGCGTTGGATCGTTTGTTTGTGAAGCCCGGATGCCGACGAACTTCGCTGACTTATCGGTGTGTGTCGACGGCGACTGTGTGCCTTGCACCACACGATCCCCCCCACCGCTTTGCTATGTCTTGCCCTGGCCTCCAAAGGCAGGCGATACCGCCGGCTCGTTTTCCTCTCCTTTCGCATGGCCACTACTTCCCCCCCCTCCCCTAGCTGGGGGGCTCGGCGGTCTGCCTCTCTCATTGCCCCCCGGCCCCGTCGCTGGGGGGACTTTCCAGTTCACCTTTCCCTTCAAAGGGCTCGTCTCGAACTCGTAGAATTCGCCAGAGAGTTCCAGCCAGTGCTTGTCTTGAAGCTCCTGAAACAAAGGACCAGCAGTGATGATGATGGAAGAGTCGGCGGGCTGCAGGTGGCTATTCTCTGATGTAACTTTATACACCACAGCGCTGCTCGCAATATCCAGGTAATCAGACTTCGCCAGGCGCCTGGTTGGCTTCCATTCCCCATCCGTATCGACGATGGCCATGACCCACTCCCCCTTGCAAACTGCGGGCTGGATCGTCCCCGGGTGCCAATTCATGTCATGACCCCAGTCAGCCTCCGTAGAACGAGTGTGGTCGTGGCCTTCGAAGTGAATGTTGTCATCCTTCCGCGAAGGATGTTCCAAGGGGACTAGACACCCTGGATGCAGAGGAGGGGGCGCAAAAGGCCGCGGTGTTAGTCTCGCCAACAGCTTACTCGGGGTCCTCCCCGGAGTTGATGTGCGCACAGGGGTCGCTTGTCCGGGAGGGCTTGTCGAGGGACCAGCCGACGTCGAGGCGGGGGATGTGAGCATAGGAGCAAGGTGGTAGTCAATAGAAATTTCTTCGGTGTCGCTATCCTCCTCGGGCGCATTGGTGTCGAAAACGATGCCGGTGACAGTCTCCTCGCCGGTGTCGATCAAGGCACTGTAACTCCTGAGCCTCAGGACGTGCTCGGATTCGACAAAGTACAGCGTTTGCAAGTGTTCCAGGAAATTCTTGGCGTTGAGTCGAGAGGCGTCGTGGTAGTTGTCTAGCAGCGCTAACATGTGGTCCTTGCGGCGCATGTACTCAATGTCGGTGTCCCTCTTCGGCTGCCTCTCTAAGAAGAGGAACTCGTAGATCCTGTTTCTTTTCCGCTCGCTTAGCTTGAACCACAGGAATTTAAGCAGATGGGCCAATTGCGTGGGGTTCCGCTTATTGCCTTGTACGCCGACGGATCACTCCCGTGTATGACGAGCGGCCATTCACAGGCGTCAAAAGGCATCTCGGATATCTCAGTCGGAGTCACTTTGTGATTTGCCCCGACGGCGGAAGCATCACCCGCCGCCAACCTCGTGTCATAGACAACAGACGTATTCTCCCACAAGTCGTCACCTTTGAAAAGGATGTACATGCGATCGTCCAACGAGTACAAGTTGTTGCCCTTCTGCTGCGTTCTTCGCGTCCACTTCACGGCCATTGCTTTGGCGACGGACAACAGGTGCAGGCAGGTCATGAAGTAGTAGTCATGCTCATGGGGGACGAACGCAAGTACCGTCCAGTGCGAGGAGAACAAATGTTCCAGGAGGGCATTCAAACTCTCGAAGACTTTGGGTGTCCACTGCTTGATGTCCACAGGCTCGCACAAGTCGAGAACGCATGTGTGGCATTTGATGATTCCGACCGCCCTTTCCAACTCCACGACTTTCATCTGCGCCTCGAGAGGTTCGACGCCGAACGGAGCCATAGATGTTACGTCCTTCGAGTCGGTCCAAAGAATGTGCACCATCCCTTCGGCGAGCACGACTCCCATGCTCTTCGACCTGCTGCCGGTCAACACGGAGAGGACCTTGTTCTTCCAGTCGATCGACAATTTCTTGTTTTGGACAAGCTTTTCTGTCGCCTTGATTGACTTGTCGTCATCGCATCCCATGTACGGAGGGCAGTCCTTGAATAACGAGGCATCGACGACAAGTTTCGTGCTTCCATCCCACAACGCCTCATCGAGACCCTACCCTTCGAACCGTGTCAAAATCGCCTCCCATTTCTTAAGGAAGGGGTACTTAGTGGTCCAATCACTATCTGGTCGGTTTTCATACTAGAACTGATAGTAGTTCCACAACCGCACCAAGACGCGATCGCACTTCGCCAGTTGCACTGCCTCGTGCATCCCGAGCTTCCCTTGCTTCGCCAATGCAGACAAGTCTGTTTGCACCCAGACCACCTCGCGATTGAGAACCTTCTTCAACAACCGGCATTTCTCGTTGTCGGTAAAGGCCTCCATGGTTTTCCAGCAGTGCGGATCAGGCTCGCTTACTTGGACGAACCAGTCGCCGGGCTCTTTTTCCTTCTTCCCTTTCTTTTGCGGGGCTTTGATGGGGACATTGTAGACGACTTCCTTTCGCCCGGCCTTGTTGTTCTCAATGTGGCTCACACCTGCCTTGACGCCCTTAACCTTTTTCTTTTTCATGATCCACTTCGCTCCCTGCGGTGCCAACAGTCTTCCCGTTTCCCATCTGTCGAAAAATTCCATCCCCGCTCTCCACGCGCTGTCCCCTGCCATGGCAAGCGGGAAATACGATCTAAGGGCAGCGTTCTATTTCTTAACCCCTTGCTCGGTATTGTCATCGGCGAGAGTCCACATATGACTGTAGGGCGTCATTTGGAGGGCCTGCATACAAAACTTGCGCCATACCTCCACCTGCGCCTGTTTCGCGCTGGGGTTTCCCGGGCAACCCTGATCCTTCCAAAACGACCGGATGTCCTTCATAGAAAGTTTCAGTTGCTCGGAGGCGCCTTGAGGTCTTTCTTGTTGTCCTCGGCGCTGACCCGGAAGTATCCCTCGAAGTCCTCGTCTGAGAAGTACACCATTCGCGCAGGTCACCTCGCAAAATTGTACATGACCGCCACATCGGTCCCGAGCAGCGCCTTGGCTGCAGCCGCGTTGTGCTGGCCCGCAACAGCGTAGTAGAAATATTGCCCTGCCAGCTCGTCCTTCCAGTCCCCTGGCTTCAGACGATTCGCCCGCACCCCTGGCGTCGGTTTCTCCAGCCCAAGCGGCGCGAGCTTAAGTGTCGGCATCTCGTACGTCTTGTCCGCTTGCGAGTAGGCGATCGTCATCGCATCGATGATGAGCTGCGTGTGCACGCCATCCAAGGAACGCTGGTTATAACACAACTCTCACTCAGCGATGTCGAGCACTTATGACGGGTGAATCGGGATTTCCCTCTTTGTCCGCACACCGTCTTTCCACTCTGGGAAGTATGCCGCGTCAATGTCGATTGCACCTCTTGGCTCGTTAGGGGCCGATTGCAGTCGTTTCTGAGCCGACGCCAGGCGTTTCTGGCTCGACGTGCTGACATCCCCCTCAACTCCCTTCCTTTTCCCTCCAGACTGCTGGGGGGACTTTGTCTTCTGTTTCTTGGAAGCCCCCGACGCCTCCCCCTCATGACCTCCCCTTCTCTTTTGCCTAAACTGTTGTTCCCCTTCCTCCCCGCCGGACACGACACCAACTGTCCTGTCCTCCGATCCGAGAGCACGACCGGCACCAGACGTCGACGGCTCGTTGCCGACCTTTGCGCGTCTCTCTGCCCCTTGAATGCTCAGCACCTCCCGATCTCCCACTCTTAGGGCGGAGACTCACGTCTCCTCCACTTCATCCTCCTCGCTGTCGTCAAAGCGACCACGTTCCTCACTCTGTAGGCGTTGCGCGGAACTACCTGAACCTAAGTCCCCGCCTTCGGTTGGAGCGCCACTGGACTCAAACCCGGTGCACATCTGCAATGGAACCGACAACTGCAGGTCGGTAGTAATTTCACATGGTTGTTCGAGGTCGACGTCGCTCTGCTCGACCATGTCAAAAAACTCCCTCGCCGAAACAAGACCTTCCTCCGCGATCTCATAGTAGAAAGGGGTTCTCAAAGCCCCCGCACCGAACCCTTGGAACAGATCCCACTTTAGAATAGCCCCTTTAGAACCGCCGACAACATCGCTCTTCGAATTGTAAACCATGTGCATAATGTAGTATTGTTTGTCGTGGTTTCTCCCTGCCTGCCATCCCTTGACTGACCCAAGCACTCTCCTCCCTTTTCTATCCTCCACGAAAATGACAGGACCGCAAGGCGGTGTCGTGGGCTCGTCTGCCTTCGCGCACCTCCAGTCCACGAACCATTTCGAGTGCACATGATTAGACCACGACTTTTTGTTCGTGGACTCCCTCCCCGACGTCCCCGTAGGCTGATCCTCGCCTCTCGACGTCGACATTTTGTCTGCAAACGACGTAGCCGCGTCGAAGTGCAGGAAGCAATCAAAAACAAACGCAAACAGGATGAAGTTAGCGAAACGGCGGACTCTGAACACCGATGGGTGTTCTGACCAGGTGAAACAAAGAAAGCATAACATCGCACATGCAACAAGTCTGGACTCCGGCGAACTTCGCCAATCACTGGTCACGATTTGCGCATTCTAACCGTTTCGCGGACCACCTTTGTTCTTTCGGACTGGAGAAGTTGTCGGCTAGATATCCAGGGACATGCGGTTGTTAACGAAGAGCGTACGGAAACCGACCCCTGGCGAGAAGCCCACAAAGTAGGGATTCCGGCGGACTTCATCGAAGCACAACCCACGGAAAGAAATTGTTGTTCGAACGCTTTGCGCATGACGGGCAACCAACAAAGGACGACAACTCCGGATGGCGGCGGACTACAAGTCAGGCGTTACCGAAACCACCGAGCTCGGCGGGAGACGGTTGGCAAATCCGACCGATGCACCAGCGGGTGTGATCCGTCGAACGTCCAGATACGGATGCCAAAACGTGTCCGGGCCAGTGATGCATTCGAAGGCGGTCGCGCGCCAACGAAATCTGGACGAAAGTCATCAAGCACAGTCGTGTTCGGGCCAGTGACGCATCGAGTTTCTCTGAGCCTCGGATGACGGCGGGATCAGAATGCGAGCAGATAGAGGTTTCTGGGAAGTCCGGATGTCGGCGAACTCTCAATTTCACGATGGCCATCATGTTCGACAATGCTTCACGCTAAATGTGTCGAGTTGTGTTTGCGGGATCCAGGAGGGGAGTTGTGTTTGCGGAGTGTGAAACTTTGCTCGACACAGACCTAGATCCAACAAGAAGGTCCCAGTAACTGACCGCAGTTGCGATTGAGCATCCCCAAAAACTGCCCGGACAACTGATAACCTGCGGGATCCAGGGGGGAGTTTTGTTTATGGAGTGCGAAACTCTGCTCGAAACAGACCCAGATCCAACAAGAA